CAGTTGGCACATCATCGAGCATCTGATCGTTGTCTTTCTGGTGATCCTCGCAATGTTCACCATTGTTTCTTTCTCGGTTTTCATCTCCACCGCAGCCCAGTCCTTGGTCATGTGCATCAGCAGAAACTTCAATGCTTGCGAACAAAGAGAACGACGGATAGAATATCTCTCGAAAGCATTGTTTCGAGTAATAAAATAAAGTTTTTCCTGTCATTCGTAAGAGAAATTTATGTTTCCTGTTTGCGGAAAGATATTACAACCTTCGTCTGAAATTTGAGACTTAACCGATCTAGAAATTACATTTTTCGTGACATTGAACTAAACTTGTCTAAAAAAAAACAGAAAAGTAATATTTTGAAATATGTTGTAATCTCTTTTAAAATTGAATATAGTTTTTATGATGATATCAGGATGAAATTCTTACATTGGCCATTCATCCAAAAAGCTACAGTCTTCATGAGCAAAATCGTAATGATCATGTTAGCCATCGATAGATTCTCGACCATCAGATTCAGATCATGTGCGATGAAGGGCAGATTTATGGTTTGTGGACCACACACAAAACACAGCATCGCGAGAGACGGTAACAGAACGATGTAGCTCGACGGTTTGTTCCATTTCCTCTCTTCCGGCCAGATATCCACGTACTTCATTATGTAACGGTTCCAACCGAACTGACAGTTCAGTTCTGTTATAGATAGGGAATTAAATAATTAGAGTGGGCCGCAAGATTATTTTCTTTCTTATCTGCGATATTTAAAGATGTGAGTTTTAAATTATTGTTTCCTACATTATTAAATTAATTTCACTCTACCATTAAACTCCATTAAACAAAATATAAAAAACAATAAAGATATAAAAGCCAAAATAAAATTAAATATTTCATATTTTTATAATATAATGAAAATTATATTTAATTGTCATATGATACTAACTCGTGGATTCAAAGAATAATTTTGATCTACAGAGAAAGAATTTTTCTGAGAATTGTATATTTAAATTGTGAGAGTTTCGTAGAGTAGCGATAGAAAACTTAATACAAGAGAATAAAATCGTAAGTATAGGAAAATTCGACATTAGACAATTTTCATTAGCCAATTTCTCACCTTCATCTAACTTACACAAATCAACAAGATCAACGGTACAAGATCATCCAATAAAATACAGCGTATTTATTATATTAAAAAATCCCAGTTTTTTTTTAAAACTTCGCATTGACTTTATTTAAATATTTATTCATTTGCTTATTTGTTCTGAACTGTCGAAACCATTTGTAAGTTAGTACATAATACGTTACCTAGTCGGACGTCCATGAGGATCAGTTTTCGCGTGACTGTTCTCAGGCGATTCGAAAGTTACTTCATTGCTCTTCTCAGCGCATGCCCTTATTCTGCATTCACAATGCGCATATGTCATCAATTATTTGTAGTTCGATGGAACTCAATTGCACGTTTGAGTTGAAACTAACTAGTATAGTTTGTTTGTCACAAGTTTGTTATTATTCGTTCGTAATTATTTATGATATTGCCCAGGGTACCATGCGACAAGCGTGGAACAAGATATGCTCGCGGTTCCTCAGCATTGTTAGTC